GGCCCAGACAGCACAGCACTCCGGGAGCCCCGGCTTTTCTCACTCTCTCTGCTCTGTAGCTAACTGTCCTCCATGGTTGTAGCAAAAGAACCTGTCTATCATTCTGACTTCGTGTAGTTAGATGAAAATTTGTGTAACATACGTCACTCTGTGTAATACAGAAATGACTTTTAAAGGTGTGTCAGCCAGCCGGCAGATTTGTGTGATGTCTTTCAGTGAAGACATTCAAAGCACTTTCCATATTTATGTTAATATTCATATTGTTGGTGAGATTAGATGGTATCTTGGCCTATTTGAGTGAAGAGGAAAGATTGTTTCCATTTTTCGGGTTGAAGGGCTTCCTCAAATGTCCGTTCACATTGATTAGTGGACCCCAAAAAACTGACCCAGCGCCTGTGTGGGTTGGGGGGCTGGGTGGGTGGTGGACCTCACAGAGGGCGGTGAGGGCTGACTTCCTGTGGGGCAGGGCGGGTGCTATCTCAGCCAGGCAGCCAGCCTTCTGGGAGCTTCCAGAACACAGGGCTGGAGGCTCCCCTGTACAGGACCAGGTCGTCTGTGTGGTACCTGCTGGTACCCGTGCTCACCTGTGCTGGTGTTGTCCTGTCTAGGGCCTGCCCTGTGGCTTCTGGGGCGGGTGAGGGGTGGCCCCTGACGGTGCAGCACTCAGGAGCAGAGCTGGGTGTCTAGCTGCTCTTAATTAGGCTTTTGGTCAGTTTTCCCTGCAGCCCCTCTCCCACATCTGTTTCCCTTCTGAGTGCTTGGCGGTTTCATAGTGGGCCTGGTGTCCTTCTGTGAGCCGTTCCTCCTGAGACCTCAGCTGAGTGGAGGACACTCACTTCTGTCAGTTACACTTGCCTGACGGCTTTCCTCTTCCATGGTTTTGTGGTCACATTTGCTCTCTTGTAGGCGCCTTTCCAGTGTCCTTTCGCTTGTCCTTTGGTGTTTAGACCAGCTTTTATTCCTTTCCTGTCATTTTGTTAGGATTTCAGGAAGGATTGGAGGTAAAATGCCATTTGTGTTTCTTTTGTAAATTACCTCTTCATGTACTTTGTGTACACAGTTTGGAATCTAGAAAAACTTTATATATGAAGGATATCAACTCTGGCATATGGTGTAATTCTCCCTTCTTCTTTGTTAACTTTACTTCTGAAACACTTGCTGGAAGGTAATGGCAGGGATTCCGGCTTCTGCTCACTTGTGCAGATGGTCAGGTAGGGAAATGGATCCTGAGACCAGCTGGCTGTACATTGGCTTTTGTGTGGATGTGCTTTTCTTTTGGTTTTCACTACCTCGTGGAAGCTGTCTTATCTCCTCCAGTTTGAGAAGTATTCATACTGTTTCACACATGGAGGACCCCGGCCAAGTGGTCATTTGCCGTCTCCTCCACCAGGTGCTCTCAGCCTCTGGTCCTGTGGTCAGCTGGGAAGGTCTGGCAGCAGCTGGGCTGAGGAACACGCCTGCTCACCAGCCTGCCAAGGCTTTGTCGCCTCAGCCCAGCCACACGCCCTAGGCTTGGAGAGAGGCTGCTTCTTGCACATGCCTTGAAAGGGTAGAAGGAGACTGGCAAAACTAACTTCTCTCCTTTTGTGCTTAGCAGTGGGCCCAGAGCCACGAGGAAGGGAATTCAAGGGGAGGAATTAGCAGCAGCCCCGCATGTGTCCCATTTGGCATGAGTGGACAGGTGTTAGTTAGCCCTCCTGTCCTTGGGGATCAGGGGCGCTGGTTTTCAGCTGAGCTGTGAAGGTTTGACTGTGTTCCATCTCCACTTGTGTTTTCCCGTGGCTCCTTCCTCCCTAGCCAGCGTGAACAGAATGTCTTGGCATTAGCAGACAGGAAAAGGACACTGTGGTGCAGCCCAGGAGACCTCAGGCAGGTGGGGCTGCTGATCCTAAAGCCTGAACGCTGTCAGTGCACATGTCAGTTGGACAACCCAGTGGAAGTTGGGGTCCGAAATGACCCATGAGGAAGCCTGGGAACACCAGCTTGGTGTCACTTCCTGTCCTCTAGGCCCTCTGGTTTACTTGGGAAGTGGCTGTGGTGAGTGATCAGCTCTGACATCCTGGTTTCCGTTACGCTCCCTGAGTTTTTCTGTTCCTCTGTCTCACTGCCGCTATCACTCCAGGCCTTTCTGAGGCCTGGTTCACCATCACAGCCTCTTAGCCCAGCCCCTTGCTTTTTGCTTCTTGCTGTCTTAAGAGGTCCAGTGTGCTAGCGTCAGACCTCTTGTCATCCTCATCTCTACTTTCCGTTAAAATTTTTGCTACTCTTTTCCAAGACCTGGCTTTTGCCCCATGGTAGCAGTCAAACTTCTGGTAGCAGTCAGCACCAGAAGTTTGGTTCTGAGTTGCTCTGATTGTCCTGCCTGTGTTGGAAGCCTCTTGAAGGCAAGGGTGGTTTGCTTGTGTTGAATTCTCCACTGCATGTAGTTGGTCTTGCGGAAACACTCGTGAGCAGTCTCCGCTCTCAGACCAGAGTGCTGATGTCTGGAGAAAAAGCTGAAAAATGGAAAAATTGCCTTGGCAGACTGAGGAAAAAGCCACAATATCATAATTTGGGGGAGGAAGGATTCCTCAGTTTCAGATCTATCAGATAACTTCACTTTGGAGTTTCCTTATCTGTAAAAGGGGAGGGTGGGTTAGAGTGGATTGTCTTTCCATTCCCACCCAACTCTGAAAGGCTAATTTCCCTTCATACTTTTTTTTTTTTTACATCTTTATTGGAGTATAATTGCTTTACAATGGTGTGTTAGTTTCTGCTTTATAACATAGTGAATCAGTTATACATATACATATGTTCCCGTATCTCTTCCCTCTTGCGTCTCCCTCCCTCCCACCCTCCCTATCCCACCCCTCCAGGCAGTCACAAAGCACCTAGCTGATACCCCTGTGCTATGCGGCTGCTTCCCACTAGCTATCTACCTTACGTTTGGTAGTGTATATATGTCCATGCCTCTCTCTCGCTTTGTCACAGCTTACCCTTCCCCCTCCCCATATCCTCAAGTCCATTCTCTAGTAGGTCTGTGTCTTTATTCCTGTCTTACCCCTAGGTTCTTCATGACATTTTTTTTCCTTAAATTCCATATATATGTGTTAGCATATGGTATTTGTCTTTCTCTTTTTGACTTACTTCACTCTGTATGACAGACTCTAGGTCTATCCACCTCATTACAAATAGCTCAATTTCGTTTCTTTTTATGGCTGAGTAATATTCCATTGTATATATGTGCCACATCTTCTTTATCCATTCATCCGACGATGGGCACTTAGGTTGTTTCCATCTCCGGGCTATTGTAAATAGAGCTGCAATGAACATTTTGGTACATGACTCTTTTTGAATTATGGTTTTCTCAGGGTATATGCCCAGTAGTGGGATTGCTGGGTCATATGGTAGTTCTATTTGTAGTTTTTTAAGGAACCTCCATACTGTTCTCCATAGTGGCTGTACCAATTCACATTCCCACCAGCAGTGCAAGAGTGTTCCCTTTTCTCCACACCCTCTCCAGCATTTATTGTTTCTAGATTTTTTGATGATGGCCATTCTGACTGGTGTGAGATGATATCTCATTGTAGTTTTGATTTGCATTTCTCTAATGATTAATGATGTTGAGCATTCTTTCATGTGTTTGTTGGCAGTCTGTATATCTTCTTTGGAGAAATGTCTATTTAGGTCTTCTGCCCATTTTTGGATTGGGTTGTTTATTTTTTTGTTATTGAGCTGCATGAGCTGCCTGTAAATTTTAGAGATTAATCCTTTGTCAGTTGATTCATTTGCAAATATTTTCTCCCATTCTGAGGGCTGTCTTTTGGTCTTGTTTATGGTTTCCTTTGCTGTGCAAAAGCTTTGAAGTTTCATTAGGTCCCATTTGTTTATTTTTGTTTTTATCTCCATTACTCTAGGAGATGGGTCAAGAAGGATCTTGCTGTGATTTATGTCATAGAGTGTTCTGCCTATGTTTTCCTCTAAGAGTTTGATAGTTTCTGGCCTTACATTTAGGTCTTTAATCCATTTTGAGCTTATCTTTGTGTATGGTGTTAGGGAGTGATCTAATCTCATACTTTTACATGTACCTGTCCAGTTTTCCCAGGACCACTTATTGAGGAGGCTGTCCTTTCTCCACTGTACGTTCCTGCCTCCTTTATCAAAGATAAGGTGACCATTATGTGCGTGGGTTTATCTCTGGGTTTTCTATCCTGTTCCGTTGATCTGTCTTTCTGTTTTTGTGCCAGTACCATACTGTCTTGATTACTGCAGCTTTGTAGTATAGTCTGAAGTCAGGGAGCCTGATTCCTCCAGCTCCGTTTTTCGTTCTCAAGATTGCTTTGGCTATTCGGGGTCTTTTGTGTTTCCATACAAATTGTGAAATTTTTTGTTCTAGTTCTGTGAAAAATGCCAGTGGTAGTTTGATAGGGATTGCATTGAATCAATCTGTAGATTGCTTTGGGTAGTAGAGTCATTTTCACAATGTTGATTCTTCCAATCCAAGAACATGGTATATCTCTCCATCTATTTGTATCATCTTTAATTTCTTTCATCAGTGTCTTATAATTTTCTGCATACAGGTCTTTTGTCTCCTTAGGTAGGTTTATTCCTAGATATTTTATTCTTTTTGTTGCAATGGTAAATGGGAGTGTTTTCTTGATTTCACTTTCAGATTTTTCATCATTAGTGTATAGGAATGCCAGAGATTTCTGTGCATTAATTTTGTATCCTGCTACTTCCCTTCATTCTTTACCTTGATCTTTCTCTTGAAATTCAAACTGTTGAGATGTTTCTGGATCTTGAGTTAGGAATTTTTCATTTCTTTGTCCTTGTTGCCCTGACACATTTTGCAGTTTTCTCTGGGTACATGCTGCTAAAGGAAATTTGGATTTGCCATTTGGCTACGTTTTAGGAGAGCAGACAAAATGCCATACCATTCTGTTATTTTTCAGCTTTTCATTTGTAAAAGTAAAGCTTTCACTCAGGGGCATGATTTTAATGTACTTTTTGTTCTCCCACAGACACGATGAGGCGAGTGGTACGACAGAGCAAGTTTCGCCACGTATTTGGACAAGCGGTGAAAAATGACCAGTGTTACGACGATATTCGGGTTTCTCGAGTGACCTGGGATAGTTCCTTTTGTGCTGTCAATCCCAGATTCGTTGCCATAATCATAGAAGCGAGTGGGGGAGGAGCATTCCTTGTACTCCCTTTGCACAAGGTAAGGCATCTGACTTTCCATCCTGTGAGACACCCTCCGGTAATCTCTGTTTAGTCTGTAATAGATTGATTTTGGAAATTGATAGTCACTAAGCATTGTGTGATTTCTAGGACCATTAGACTTGGATGTAATTGAGCTTAAGTTCCACACGCTTTACTAACCACATCAGTTTTTCTCTGACAGAGAATCATTAAACAGAATGGCAAATTCTGTTCTGGGTGTGCCCTCTATGGATGAAAAAGATTTTTATAATGATGCTGTGAGCATGGACAGGCACAGGAATTTTATGATTTGGTTCATAATCATCCACTTTTCATAAAAGTTTTTCCCAAAAGTACAATTTTAGAAATAGTTATGTTTTTAAATGGGCAGAAACTGATAAGATTATAAGGGAATCTTTTTTGTGTGTGATGTCATGAGGACTGAGACTTTTTGGTTTTGCTTTGTTTTTGGTTTTGAATGGTAAATGGGATGAGGACTCAAGAAAATGTCCACAAACAATGCAGATTTCAAGTCTGGGCAGTAGTAGGTTTCAGCATAGGATCTAAACAGCGTTAACAAGCTGTGGAAATAAAGGCTCTGTATTGAAAGTGGTTCTGTGTGACTTTGAACCCGCTGGGCTTCCTAGTTCTCCCTTCTCCTGACTTTATCCTTCCAGAGAGCCCTGTCCAGTATAGGGGAGAAGATTGGAGATTTGTAATTTTCTGCCTGTTCTTGAAAATTGTAGGTGAAAGTCTGTACTAGCTTTAACAGGAAATCCCAGAATTGCAAATAATGGGGGGTGGGAAAGACCGTGAAGAGAGAGCTTGGAAAGAGTCATTTTCTGATTAGCTTTTAGGAGGAAAATAAGTTTGGTGAGTCCTGAGCCCTAATGATAAGGATGCAGATGTTGGGTCATGTTACAGCTGTTTCCACTCTGCTGGGAACAGTGGGTCTCCCTGAGTCTGAGCCATGCCTAGTAGAGGCATGTCTCATCATAATGGACCATGTGATTCTGAAAGTGGTTACAGTAACATGAATTTCTGTCAAAGTATTGTATTTTGGTGTTTTTTCCTTAGGAAAACTCTTGCTGGGAAAACTTCCAATTCTCTTGCACTTTTCATTCTCTCAGATGCTCATGACTAACTTGTTTTATTTTAACATCTGATTTGTATCTCAGTGGCTGGATTGATGTGATATTACACAATAGAACCATCTCACTACAGAGGAGATGGATGCCTTTGGGGAACAAATCTGACATATGTTTCCAAACGTACTTTCTTATTGGCGAAGTTGTTAATCATGTTTTAAAGGAGAATCTTTTCATTAAATTGAAATTAAATTTTCTACTCAGATACTTTTGCTTTTGTGGGGGAGATTGTTGTTTCAGTGGTGAACAATACATTACACTATTGTAGCTGTACTTACCTGATTTGGGAGTGGGGGTTGGAGTTTAATGCCAGTCGCATTTGATCTCCACGACTTTCTAGTCGATTTGTTCACCAAGAGCAAGGAGCATTTGGTAACTTGACTTTTCAGTGGTGGGTCTTATGGCAGCCAGCTGAGAAGACACCTCAGCTTGTCAACCAAGGTCAGGCACTGAAGTACCAGATCTCTTTTGAGTTCAAGAGGGATAAATTTACGACTTTTTGCTTCAGAGAAGGAGAATAAGCCAATTAAGAAGCCCCAAATAAACTTTTGACCGGCTAATCTTCCTCCAAGTTCAGACAGTTCTCTTCAAGTCCCACATTCACAAAAGGCTCTGTGAGTCCACCTTTGCTTTCACAAACCATGGGAAACTTAGAGTTACATTTATACTGTTTAAGGGAGCCCTGTGTGCAGGTCCTAAGCTAACTGGATCTTATGCTTTGGTTTTCAGTTGCATTAAGTGACCAATACCTAATAAATAGGTTTTATTATTTTGTTCTTCAACCAGCTATACAGGAATTGGGACAGAATAAGTTGCTTCAGAAATTATCGTGTTTGAACGAAACATTGGTTTTTGGAGGAGTCTCGAGGGTCTTTTTCCCAGGCTTATAATACATTCTGTGTGGCTCTACTCCTTAAATATTAATTTGTGTTGGAGGAGGTGACATTGGCATAAACTAAGCCCAGTGACACCCATTGGAAATAAGGTCAGTACTTGGGGTTATCGACTTTTATAATCGACAGGTTCACACGTACTCTGGGATTTTTGTGTATTAAAGTGTGTGTATTGAGTCCTTAGGGTCAGTGTGGCATCGAGGAAGGAACATGGGTCTGGAGCCAGGGGTTCAATCCTGTCTTGGTCACCGACTTCTGGTGAGACATGGATATGTCACTCTGTCCTTAATGCTCTCCCATATCTCTATCTGTAACGTGAGGGGCTCTATATAAAAGTGATTTTCTAAATGGTTCTGAAGAACTTAGGGGCGGGATAAAGATGCAGACGTAGAGAATGGACTTGAGGACACTGGGCGGGGGAAGGGTAAGCTGGGACAAAGTGAGAGAGTGGCATGGACTTATGTATATACTACCAGATGTAAAATAGATAGCTAGTGGGAAGCAGCCGCATAGCACAGGGAGATCAGCTCAGTGCTTTGTGTCCACCTAGAGGGGTGGGATAGGGAGGGTGGGAGGGAGATGCAAGAGGGAGGGGATATGGGGATATATGTATATGTATAGCTGATTCACTTTGTTATACAGCAGAAACTAACACACCATTGTAAAGCAATTATACTCCAATAAAAATGTAAAAAAAAAAAAAAAAAAGTGGTTTGCTACCCAAAATTCAGCAAAGGAAACACTGTTGTTCCTTTTTTTTCCCTCCGTAGTGCCAACACGTAACTTTGGGAAGTAGATGCCTTTTTACTCGTGGCTGCTTTTCCTCCAAGGGCAAGGCTGAGCCCGGCAAAGAAAAGTGGTCTGTGGTTCCTGTAGACAGTTCTGTGTCTTGGGAGCTCTTAGAAGGATCCGCTGTGATGACAGGGCCTAGCCCGGAGCCCCGAAGTGTCAGGTGACACCCACCTTTCTTTTCTTCCTAAGACCCTGTCCCTTGACTACTTACTACCTAGGCTTTTAAAAAATAGAACTATGTTCCACGTTGTCAGAAAACTTATATTTCTGCCTGCTTTAAAGGGCTGATTGCCCTCTGGATATCTATTTCCTTATAATTTTAGTATAATAATTTGAATAAGGATCATAAGTTTTACATTTTTACAGATATTTTGTTGTTCATATAGTACGAGGTCTTCACTGTTCTCTGACTATGCACATGTAGTTTGATTGTCTATAGACTGAGTGTCTGCTGGGTGCCATCTTTGCTCTCCAGGAGCACTGCATCTACTTTTCATTGTGGTCAGTTTCCTGACCACCCCCCCGGCCCCCAGGAGATTGCTGGTACTGCAGTGTTTGTCTCACCTTTAGAAGTGCAGCCTTGAAGGACAAAAACATTGGGGACCTGAGTACATGGTGAACCCATCGATCCTAATGTAGGACTCTGCCCTGGAAAAGAGATCCTACAACTTCAGTGTCTTGGCAACTTTGAAATAGTTTTACAGTGAGGTGCTGCTTTTGTTTAAAGGCAAAGAAAAACCAAATTCCCACATATAATAAGAAGTGATGCTTGAAATGAAGATAGTGGGAAATGATGCTCTGGGTGTGTATTGGGCTCCTGTACGTGTTGATGGCAGTCTAGGATTTCTCTAAACATGAACTTAAGGAGGTGGGTATGGTTTTTAATCACTGTCTCAAGAGACTTCTGGCAGTGTGTGTGTGTGTGTGTGTGTGTGTGTGTGTGTGTGTGTGTCTGTCTGTCTGTGTTCCCCCGCTGCTTTTTTTTTTTTCCTGGTTATAGCCAGCCAGGTTGGTTTTAGTGATGCTTTGGGGGCTTTCTGTCCATGTTAATATTGAATATGTGTGTACTGATCTTAAGATGTATTGTGACTCTTTCTGAAAGGCTCCCATTTTAAAACATGGCCTTCCATGAATTCTTCTTCAAAGTTGGTTAGCGTCAGCAGTAAATAGGACTTATTATTGCAACCTCATGTGGCTTATGATTAGATTCCAGGAGAATCATGGTCTCTGTCTTCCAGGACTTAAAATTAAAAATGGAAAGAGTGGTAGAGACAAATACATTGGCACATACACAGCAAGAGGTAAGCTTAGGAATGCATATATGTTTATTTAAGTGTATGGTTTATGAGGTTTTTGTTCGAAAGGTTTTATTAGAGAAAGTAGGATTTTAAGAGGTCACTGCTGGGGGAATACGGAAAGTGCTCAGCCCTGAGGTGGGGCAGTTTAGATTAGCACACATGATTCAGGGTTTCTTTTGTCATGCTTCCCTCAAGCTGTGGCATGCTGTTCAGTCATGACTTCTCAAGGTGTGGCTTAGTACATTTTCTTATTCTTTGGTCTTTCATAGGATGAATAATATCAGTCTTGTTGAACAGAAGTTGGCTTTGTGGTTTTGGCCGTTGCGTTCTCCCCACAACTACACAAGCTGCCTTGTCAGGAGCACACAGGTTCCAGCCCCCTGTGCGCTACCACGTGGGCATGAAGGGCACAAACGAGCCTCTCCTTGTGCAGGAGCCACGCTCGTGATGTGAGACCAAGGCATTCCCATCCCTGTTGTGAGCCACGGTGGCTCCTACAAACAGCAGTGTTAGATGTGTGTGGGCACAGGCATGCGCATACACGCTAAAACTTCAGATCACAGTGAGCCTGGAGCAAGGGTTGAGGGAGTTGGTGCTCTTGATGTCTTAGAATTCTGTGCTCTTGATGTCCTAACATCCGCTTGGACGGAGGTTGCAAATTGGAGGGCTCCTGTCTTCCCTAATCGCTTTCTCCCTTCCTCCCTTGACTGTTCTTACTTTGGAGGATTGGAATGATGGCTAATTTCATCTTCCCAGTAATTGCCTAGGAGAGCAGCTCTGCTCTGGGCCATGATGGAATGGGTGTGGCCAAGTCATTGTCAGCCTTTTGGGTCACTGTCTCCTCTCTCTTCTTGCTCCTCTGGTATAGCTGTGAGGTGCCTTCTTATA